TATCATGAGGAATCAAATTGATTATTTGCCCAAGTTCAGAAAAGAAGTAACTACACCCCTGAAGCATATAAAACAGTGAGACTATAGCTTTTCGATTATAAGGTTAGCACAGTTATAGAGTGTTGAGTCTTGGCCAAGAACCTGCAGCCCATCTCGAAAGCGCTTTTATTAAATTGTCAGACCTTCAGAAGAGGATTTGTTATGCTACTCCATGTGAAGCCTACAACTTTTAAATGTGTTTTGTGTACAGAGAAGGTGTGGAATTGAGTTGTCACTTTGATGTCCAGAAAAGCTCCAACTTTACACCCCACCTTCAGTGCTTTAAGATTATGGAATGCATGCAATGTTTTCCTTTTGAAATATTTGAAAGCATGTAATTAAATGTGATGGGTTTCTCACATGAGTATAAAAACTTCACTGCTAACTCTTTAATGACTATTGGCACTGGAAAAAATCTATAGGCGACATCAGTTCACACATATTCTCCCAAGTCTGTTTTTAGCTTACTTCTGTGACCATTCCCTTTCAAAGGAAAATGATCCACTACAAATGTTTTTGTTATTTCAAAGTAATTATTGTGGTACCTTACTTTATTTTTGTAAATGGGTACATTTACGTTTTTCTCCCATATATTATGTTGTAAAAGCAGCACTTTGTGACCACTGTGTGCATTCAGCATCTAAGCGTAAAACATTGTATCTGTCGCAAATAGGGCTGGGTATCATTAAGAAGTTGCCGATACGATACATACCTTGATACACAGGCCACGATACGATACATATCTCGATACAGTGCACTTTCGATTCAATATGATATATTTCAAATCGATTCAATACGGTTCAGTAAAAAAAAAGTCTAAATCGTGGCTGTGATACTAAAAGTCTTTGTCTTGTGCAAAGTTCATATGAAACACAAACATTTTAATCATCGAAACAGTAAAAACATCAAATGTGTTGAATAAATGAGTTTCCTTTCACTCCACAAGCAACAAAACTGTAGCTCTGTAACAAAATAATTTAGTAAAACACACCTAAAATACTCTTGGTGATATATCGATACAGTAGCCCTCGATATTGATACTGTATCATCACATTAAATGATACGATATATCGATATTGGGATATTTTTGCACACCCCTAATCGCAAACCCAGAAGAATGAGTGATGTTGCTATAACTGTTTGGGAGGAAAGCTTGTTGGCCGTGCAGTGTTCATCCACCCTGAGTTAAAGTCTCATATTTATATTAATTCAGTTGATATTGAAGCCGTCAGGAGCAGTAGGTGCAGCGCAGCGCCTGTTGACCCATGTCAAGATCTTGAGCTAGGCTTGGTCAGGACCACCTTAACTGCAGAATATGGGACATGTTTAGGGTTGATGGTGATAATTGTACCTAGACACAAGAAAAACAAACAAACAAAAAAAACCAAACATGTCAACTCTGCACAGAAGGAGTAAAAGATGGAACCTTCTTGCTGTGAGGCCAGCAGTCTAGAAGCAAAAAGACATACATATTTGCATTAAGATTGTGAAAAGGCTTAAAAATTCAATACTTATCGATACTAAAACTAGTATTAAAACTCGATTCTCATTTAAGCATGTAGAAAGTCACATTCACAGCAGAACAGAAATGAACCTTTCCTGAATAGCTTTAAAATGATTTTGAGCTGTATCAGAAAGTTTAAGATCACATTCAGTAGACCAGCATCAGCCTGTTGACGACCATGGACCATACCTGGACCACTGAGGGATTACGCAGATATAAATAAATAGTGCTTTGATTAGCATTGTGGTAGAGGCATAGGTATTGAGGATTGAGTCTGTTCCTTAGTATCGAAATCCATTTTAAAATATTAGTATCATGACTTCACTAATTTGAAGTATTAGACAGTTTTAGGCACAGCTGCAGTCCAGTTTGGGCTGGTATAATTTACAGTGTTAATGTGTAATGACAGGAGTGTTTATGCTGCTTTACACAATAACATTCAGCTTCTTTCCAGCATCCTTATGCCATTTTCTCCCACACAGTGAAAGCCTCCTGTGGTGGTATTTAGCTCTGTTTTAAGAATGCCAAAGATAGCCCTGGGTTAATCCGCACAACAGGGTGGAACTGTGGGATGGAGGGCCTGGGTTGAGTCTTAATCCTGAGCGCTGTATCACTTTCTCTCACTGTGATTTAGGTCAGGGCCTGTCCACTGCCACAGCAATTATAGTTCTCCTCACCATCTCCACATAAGAAAACTTTTAATGGCCTTTAAAGAGGTCTGTCAAAGGTTAGCTCTGTGTGTTTGACGCATTTGCAGATATATGTGTTTTTCATTATGGCACATTGTGATTCAGATGATGTATTAATCCCATCAGGGGTAACTAGTCTGAGCGGTGAAAACACATATGGACATACAACACACAGTGAAGCAGTTCTGAACAAAGAGGAGCTCAGAGGTCAATAGAGCATCCAATAATAGACATTACTTCTGCATAGGATTTATATTTATATATAAGACAGATGGCAGTAGGAATACAAGATTCAAAATACTTATTTGTGTCTGAATATGAATTTCTGAATATGAAATAATATAGCTACGGCGGCCTGAGGGCAATGAAGAAAACTCACTTTTTAAACTGACGGTGTGAAAAACATTTCTTTGTTTTTAATATTCTAATTTGCACTTAACTCTTCAAAATATCTATTTTGTGTGTGATAATTTACACTGTTATAAACTCGGGGTCTAGGGATGTGCCGATCTGATACCAGTATTGAATATTGATGCTGGTTGGAGATATTTGTTTGATTGATTGATTTTTATTTTGAGCTGACAGTAGTTAAATGTAATAAGACTATTAACTGGTTGGCCCAGAAAGTCTGTTCTGAAGTTACTTGGGGGATAAATAACAGCTACATAACACATTAGGATTAGTTGTCCTATTTTATTTTTAAGGGAATAAATGTTGTTATAAAGCCATAGTATCAGAATCGGTATCAGAAAAAGATGGATCGGTGCATTTCTAAACTCTTACTAAAGTAGGGAAAGACATCCAGACATGAGTTGACTGCTTGATTCATTGACAGTGTTGGGGAGTAACAGATTACATGTACCGGAGTTACGTAATCAGAGTACAAATTATGAGTAACTGTATTCAGTTACAGTTACTGTTTCAGTGGTAATTGGATTACAGTTACTTTGTTGCAATAAATGGATTACACAGTGGTATTTTCCTGTTTTCCTGTTTTCACATTTTGGGCTATATCCCCCCCTTTTTTTTTCTTCTTTTTTTCAGTAATTCCACTCATTGCCGGAAACTAAACTAGATCTAAACCAGGTCTAAACCAGGACTAAATCAAGACTAAAACAGGACTAAAACAGGACTAAAACAGGATTTAACAAGACTAAACCAGGTCTAAATGTTGCTGCGTGGACGTGTCTCCTCATCTTCTATCAATAATATTTTTAATACAGTTCAGTAAAGTCTGGGCTTTTTATTGTCTTTTGTCAGACAAAACAATTTATATGAAGATTTCCTCGTCTTTGCTTCTCTACAACAAATCAAGTAATCCAAAGTATTCAGATTACGTTACTCACTTTAAGTAATTTAAGGGATTATATTACAAACTACATTTTGGTGAGTGTAATCTGTAATCTGTAGGGGAATACATTTCAAAAGTAACCCTCCCAACACTGTTCATTGACAGTAACAAGATGGAGTGAGAAAAAAAATAAAAAAAAGGTTAATGCAATTATAGAACATAATTGTTTAGTAAATACAATACAGTTTACAGTAAACAAAACTACAGCTGTGCATTCCACAAGAAAATTCAAAAATGAGTTGATATGGCTTCAGTTTCACTTATTGAACAAAGGTATAAAATCATAATTAGTTCCGTCTAGTTTGGCTTTTGTTGTAGGGAGTATTACACCTCTGATGATACAGGCCAAGATAAGAAGGACTGAGCTGGCAGTGTGGAGCTAGCACAGCACAATTAATGAAACACCTTAGGACTTAGTTTGTATCTGTAATGAGTCATAGAGGTAACACTTTATAATAACTACACCTTATTTAGCCTTAATAAAGCATGAACAAAGACTTAATTAATAATGAACAAAGACTTAATTAATAATGATTCACGCTTAGTAAATGCTTAATAAATGATAATTCGTCTTCACTTTAGAAAAGCTCTCAAAAAGTCTTAACTAACAGATAACAGCTGCCTGAATGATCATTGCATTGTATTGTTAGTAAATCATTCTCTCATAGTTTACTAATGATTAATAAATGCTCAAATGGTTAGTCCATGAGTAATTAAGTATGAAATAATTATGAGTAACTATTTACAGCACAGGCAAATTAAGTGCTAATTAAGGTAGTAATTAAGTAGTCACTAAGTAGTTACTAAGCATGAATCATTATTAATTAAGTCTTTGTTCATTATTAATTAAGCCTTTGTTCATGCTTTATTAAGGCTAAATAAGGTGTAGTTATTATAAAGTGTTACCGAAAAACATCTCTGCAAATTTCCTGCCTAAACACCATACCAAGATCTAACTTGACCTTGATGTACATTTTTGGCTAGGCTGCAGCGCTCACCACTAGCACACTGAAGAAAAAAAAACAAAACAAAAACATTCAGATCTCCACCACTGTGTTCTTTAGTTTGCTTGTGGGCTGCATATTTGAGCTTGTTAGTTCGCTAGACAAACAGGCACACTGGTTTAACAGCTGTTTCTTCTCCTGTTCCACCTGAAAATATCATTGCTGCCTGAATCGCATCCCCAGGTTTTCGGCACGTCTGTTGCCATTCGCTTCCTTGCTCCCTCTCCGCTCTCACTTCATTTACAGTACCTCCAAAATAATAGTGTCCAATTATGTGCGCCTGGCATCCTAATCATGTTTTATGTTGTCAAATTCTTGTCGCATTTGGATCAAAATGTCATATTTTAATTACTTTCCATTTAGATTGAATTCGAGGGAGAGACTTCCATTTGCACGCAGTTGGAGGAGAGTCCATGAGCCCTTGGCAACTAAAGATGATGTTACCATGGAAACAAATTGTTCTGCTATCAATCACCGGATGCCTTGCAGGTAAGAAATCTGATTCCAGTGTAGTGTTCAGTGTTAACACAATTTCTGCTAATACTGTGTTGAATACTAATATGGATATTGACATGCAGGAATTGTCTAATGCTCTTATGCATATACAGTACAAAGTAGGGGGCTTGGATGTGAAGCCTCTGGGGGTAAAACTGGAACTTTTTAATATAAACAGGAAGCACACAAATGCACAAAATGGATGTGACTATAACCTTTGCCTTTATGTTATCAAATGGCTGTTCTCTTAATAAGGGAGAAACTCATAAGCCCCGATTTAAATATAAGCTCTTCATTTGCCTCTCAACGTCAACAGAACGATATTCCAGAGTCAGATTGTTGAATGCTGAGAGTTTGTTGCTGCATGTTTTAACATAATAGTGATTTCAAATATGCCCTTGTGCGTTCATTAAGGTTGGTATAGTGCGTACAAGCTGTATATCAATCTAGTTAAGAGGAGACATATGTGGAATGATGCTTTAATGAGGTGACACATACCACTTTAAAGGTACTCTTATCTTTGTTGAATGCAAGTCATGTAGTTTTATTGGAAGCTTGCAATAAAATATTAAACATGGTTTCTAATGTCAGTTTAAAAAGTCTATATTACGCAAAATTGACTTTTGTGAGCTTTAAACCATGGTATAATGTTGTTACCTCCCCAAAAACATACACACATGGTGTTGTGTTTTGTTTCATTCACACATGTCTGAGTAAAATGTTTTATTAGGCTGTCTCTGTTTCACAAGCTCTGTTCCATCTTGTGATGTCATGAAATAACAATAATAAATAAATGTTTATGAAAAGGTAGTATTTAAGTTAACAACACATTTTTACCTTTAGTTCAGTAGAGATTGGCCATTCCAGTGCTGAAATTCTAAATGAAACACAATGGAACACAATGTAGTTCTTGTTTGAGAGAAGAACCTAAATATGCAGTAATTTTTGTGTTAAATTTGCGTGAATGAAACAAAACACAACTCCAGGTATGTTGGTGATGAGCAGTGTTGGGAGTAACGCGTTATAAAAGTAACCAATTACTGTAACGCAGTAATGTAAGGCATTACAGGGATTGAATTGCATTTAACCTGGATTGAAGTGGTGGGTTTTTCTTCATAGAAATTTGCTAAAATCACTGCAATATCAGCAGCGGTGAAACGCCGGAGACACGGTCGGATAGACCTTCAGGTGACCGCGGGTGAAAGGACCAACACAGAACTCTACACTGTTTAGACCTGGTTTAGACCTGGGTCAGTTCTGGTTTAGACCTGGTTTACAGTCGTCCCTCGCTCTAACGCGCTTTCACCTTTCACGGTCTTGCTGTTTCGCTGATTTTTTTTGTGCAATTTTGCATGCCTTTTGTTTTTAGTGTATGAACACGTATTGCGTTCCTCCCGCTGCGTCCTGATCGGCTAAGGATTCCTGTCTCCTGTACAGTACAGAATGTGTTCAGCTGCCAAATTTAAATAAATGTTCAATCTGTAGCAGTGTGATTCTGAAGTGCTGTATGTTTGTAAGTTTTCTCCCTGACAAAATCCACAACATCGACGAAACGTTCTGCACTGACAAAGGCTCCTGCGCTCACACCCAAAAGACAGAGGACAATGTAACCATCACACAAAAAGTTGGACTTCTGGACACGTTGAAGGAAGGTAGAAGTTACGTGCTGTAGCAGAGTCTTGCACCGGGTCTTGTACCCGCAAATAGTTGCTGAAATCAGGACCACGAGCGCCCGCAGCAGGGTGTCCATAAAGCGCGATTGGGCGACAGACGCTCTTACCTCCATGAGGTGCAGAGCAAAGCTGGTTCTTTCTCCTGCAGTCTCCTTCGAGCCCGTCCTGACAGTGAGTCCTGTTTTAGTCCTAGTTCAGTTCTGGTTTAGTCCTGGTTTAGTTCTGGTTTAGTCCTGTTTTAGTTCTGGTTCAGTTCTGGTTTAGTCCTGGTTCAGTCCATATACAGCACAAAAGTTCAGCATCTTTGCAGTTATTTTGGTGAGAGTAACTTAAAGTAATGCAATAGTAATGCAATGTCTTACATTTTAAATGCAGTAATATTGTAATGTAACAAATTACTTTGAAATGACAGTAATAAGTCATAAATAACACATTACAGTTTTAAAGTCACTTGCTCAACAGTGGTGATGAGCAAACAACATTATAACAGATCAGAAAATATTGCAAACAAACAAACAAACTATTTTAACAAACAAAAATGTTAATACAAGTTGCAAAGACTATTCCTATTTCATTACAACAAAAGACCAGAAAACATGGTTCTACTGTTTACCACATTTTAAAAGCTAGTAGTGGAAAAGCCAGTGAGTCTATTTAATTAAAATCTATTTGATTATATTATATTTCAATTTGTAATATATTTTCAAATTATTTTAACAAGGAATTGCGCTTGCCACAACCACTCAACACAATCAGACAAAGTAATTGTCTTCGGCTACAACCTCCAATGGATATTTTTTAGAGGTATTAGATTGCCTTTTATTATGTGCAAATGAAATTGTTAATAATCCTTCACGGTTCGCTAATTACATCAATTTAGCAGTGATAAAATAAGAAAGAAAGCATCCAGGTTTTTTTACACTGTCTAGTCCACAGTGGTTTTGTAATGGCGAGGTGATTGCTGTTGCCGCTATCTCTTACTGTAGGTTATAGGTTAAAAATAGAATCTCATTCACGGTAAGCCCTCTGTGAAATCCAGAGTCCACAGCTCCGCGTCCAAATCACAGCAACGGTCCATCCATGTTGACCACAAAGGTTGCACTGATTGCGTCTCCGTCCTTCGGAGATCTCTGCCCCCTTATATATTCAGTCACTGCTGTCAGGGATGGCTTCTAGTCCCATCCCATTCCACCTTATATCCAGTTCTGATCCTTATCCGAGTGCAAGCATTGAATCCTATCTCATATTTTAGCTCAATTTCCCAGCCATCTTACCCCACCTGCCTTTGTTGTGGCTGCTTTGGGACGGGACCAAGACAAAACACAGACTCTTCAAACAATTGTTAAGCCTAGTTCAAATGACATTGTAAATCCCATTATTGTTATTCAAAGTGACTCGTGGGTAATTGACATCTCTGTACACGGTGGAACGGCGCCCAAGCAGGTTCACCTTCCACACACGGACAAGCGAAGTGTTGGAAGGGCGTTTTGTTTTTAACAGCTAAAAGGACTGGCTGCTAGTAAAGCATTGTGATTGTGCTCTTTAAAACACTTGACAATCACTATAGCGGACTGCAATCATGAGCAGATGAGGAAGGTTAAAGGGCCCAGATTATGTCGTTTTCTAATCTATGTTCTGTGTCAGTCTGTATATGTCATTACATACATACCTGGAGTTGTGTTTTGTTTTATTCACACATGGGTCTGGTCAAGTGGTAACGGAGGGAAACAGGGGCAGATTTTTGACATTCAAATGTCTCTTATTCAGAAACTAGAGGGACTATTGAAATAAGTAAAGTATCGGAATGTAGGAAAGAGTTACACTCCAACAGGGTCAAGTTAAACCTGTGATATTCTTTCAAGTTGTTGACAAAAAATTAAAAAACTCATGTCGGTAACGGAGGGAATGAAATATGCAGCACTTTTTGGGCAATAAATCCAAACAGTGATAACTAGTGGTTCTCACTTCCATATCCTTAACAAACTGGTTTGAATATTTGCTTCATATAGTTTTCTACCATATGGTACAAGATTAGGTTGAAAAACCTCTTACTTTTTGAGTCATGATTTTTTTTTTTATAAAGTATGTCAGTCCTTCCAAGCAAATTTTTATCATTTTAAATACTTTATTTTTTGAAAAATCCTGTCCCTTCATCAACAGTTCAAAGATGGAATAACACAAGATATGATGAAATACATCCATTTATTGACATGATTTGCAGGTCTTTGAAATTTGGGAAATAATTTTTGTTCCATGTTTCATACATGGTCTGTTTAAAACGTATGGAACTTTAGAACCAAAAATGGTATAGAAAAAAGGTCAACACATATTTCATAAACTAGAGTACATATGTATCTGTTGAATACATTTTTATAACAGATGCATTAACTTGAATTTTTGGCCTTGTTGTTTACGTCTGCTTGACCGGGCCCACATGTTTAACACACAAACCCATGCCTACACAACTCCAAGTACCGTATTTTCCGCACTATAGGGTGCGCTCAAAAGCCTCCAACCCCATCAAAAAAACGACTGAGCGCCCCTCAATCCAGAGCGCACCATACACGAATCCACTCGGGTGTCCCAGCACGACTTCAGTAAACACACACGGAGCAGACAGCGACCGCGCAGTGAAAAACACGTCACCCTCTCTATGTGCCACAATTGAACAAAGCCCAGAGTCACTGTGAATGCGTCAGACAAAGTCCCACTGATCCATCTAACTGTTGTGTTTCGTTTAATACGACTTATAGTCTGGTGTGGTTTATATGTGAAAAAAGTTTGAAAATAGATGACAATGACAGTGCACCTTATAATCCAGAGGGTAAATAGGGTATGTTTCTGATGATGTACAACATTATAACATGATGTAAAGCTCACAAGAGTCAGTTTATAGTCAAAATATAGGATCTTTAAGATGGTTTGAGACAGTGCATCATTGTCAAGAAGTCACATTAGAGAGAGTTATGTTGTCCAAGTGTGTTTACTGGTTCATTTAAACTATTTGTTAGTTGTGGTGGTGCTTTATGGATACACTTGGACAAGAATTCTTTTTATTCATTTGTTTATTCTGTTCATGACATTTTGCAGCCAAAGGAGGTAAATGTTCTCAAAAACTGGGGCTATTAACAATTTAGAGCAGCATTTGGTGAAGCAATGTTTTGATGCCACTATCAGATGCGAGAAAATATGCCTTGCTTTGTCAAATGTTAGCGGTTTGAGCAAAAACTCAATACAAGAGGTGCCTGTCAGGATAAATTGCAAGGACTGTGACACGAAGGGTCAAACCCAGGTGGTTTCCTGGTGTGACTCCTAAAATAAATGAAGCACTGAAAAGTGACTTAATCATGTAGTTAGTAAAACCTCTTTCATCTAATTTCACATTTTTTGGGTGAAGGAGGTCAAGTATTAAAGGGTCTGTATTACGCTGTTTTCTGATCCAAGTTATGATGTTTCCTTATCAAAAACATACCAGACATTGTGTTTGTTTTATTCACACAAACCCTTTTAAATCTCCATACACCTTCACTAAGACCATTTGAACATTTGAACTTTACTGAACTAAAGGTTAAAGGTAGGTATTACTAAATGACATTGCAAAGTGGAACAGAGCGTTTTGAACATTCAAGACGTAGACAGACTAATAATAAAGGGTTACTTAAATATGTGTGAATGAAACAAAACACAACTCCAGGTATGTTTTAGATGAGGTAACAGCATTCTAACATGGCTTAAAGCTCACATGAGTTCATTTTGCTTAATATATGACCTTTATAATACTTTAAAAACTGCTTAACGTAGGTTTAACAATGGATCAACTTGAGACTGTTTGAAATCATTTAACTCCACAATGACTTTTGAGAGTCGTGCTCACTTGCAGGCTTTCGATCTTAGTGTTTGCAAATGCAACTGCCATACTTCATTTATCCTCAGTGTTAGATATATATATTGTTGTTTCTTAGCTGAAATATAAAAAAAAAATAAAATAATCTAAATCAAAACACAAGTAATAAAAACACCAAAAATTAAACATGCTTTTACTTCTTTGTTTTTCAGCCTTTCCTTTTAGCATCAAAACCCCTCTGGTTTAGGAATAAGGAAATCATTTTAGTGTGCTTGTAAACTTGTTGTATGGCCTCCTAACATATAATTATTTGTAGTCCCTCATGTTAGCCACATGCTGCCTGCGTGTTAGCTGTAGGATTACTGTAATTACACCTTTTTGTCCGTCTGTTTCTGCCTTCATTTAGCTCCAGATTGTGTTCTTCTTCTGTCCTGTTTAGCAGTTTGCAGATGAAAAGCGCTTTAGAGTCTCTCTTTGTGTACAATGTCACAAAAGTTATATATTTACATCAGCTTTTTAAATCTATCAAATTTAAAAGAGAAAAAAAGTGACTGATGTAAAGTAATAGTTTTCCGACCAGCTGCGCTTTTACAATACTCTACAAAAACGTTTCCAACGGAGTGACAGGCGGATTAACCAATCAGACAAACGCATGATTTGTTTTGTCAAATGCAAACTTAGAGGAAGGATTGTATACTGTATATTTAGTGTTGCTGTGAACATAATTCATATATTACCTTTTAAATACTGCAAAAACGGTTGTTGTTCTTGTAAGGCTGGTGATCGAGGAAATCTCAGGGATTAATTAAGGTCCTTGACTTTCTGAGGTCAATCAATATTTGAGATGCATGTGTAAAATTACCTCAGCCCATTTGCAAAGGAATACAGGAATATCATATTTTCAGCTTTTTCATTTTTCAGCATTGTTGCACTGGACTAGAGAAGCGAATGTTACACCTGTCACGATAACTTATTTTGAAGTTTGATATAACGCTGAAGTAAATATAGACATAAACGTTAATAATGAAACTAATCTACTCGCCCGAGAGCAGATTTAAACCTCAAAAACTATTCTAAGTGTACAATATTGACAAAAAAACATGAGCTGCAATAAAGAAATAGCAGAATGAAACACCTTAGGACTTAGTTTGTATCTGTAATGAGTCATAGAGGTAACACTTTATAATAACCACACCTTATTTAGCCTTAATAAAGCATGAATAAAGACTTAATTAACAATGAACAAAGACTAATTAACAATGATTCATGCTTAGTAAATGCTTAATAAATCATAATTCGTCTTCACTTAACTTACTTAACAAGACTTAACTAACAGATAACAGCTGCCTGAATGATCATTGCATTGTATTATTAGTAAATCATTCTCTCATAGTTTACTAATCATTAATAAATGCTCAAATGGTTAGTTCATGAGTAATTAAGTATGAAATAATTATGAGCAGCACAGGAAAATTAAGTGCAAGTGCTAATTCAGGTAGTAATTAAGTAGTTACTAAGTGTGAATCATTATTAATTAAGCCTTTGTTCATTATTAATTAAGCCTTTGTTCATGCTTTATTAACGCTAAATAAGGTGTAGTTATTATAAAGTGTTACCGTCATAGAAGTTATTGATGCAAACTTTTACATCTTAAATCTTATCATATAACCAAAAAATAACCCAAATCTTCCTGGTAGTGCAAAGAAAAAGTAAAAAGAATAAATATTGACCCAAAAAAATTTAGTTCCAGCTTTCATATATTTAATGATAAGTCAATATAGTAATTATCATGACAGGCCAAGTATATATATATATATATATATATATATATATATATATATATATATATATATATATATATATATATATATATATATATATATAAATATGTATATATATTGCACAGTATGAGGTATGTCATGATGATAAATTGATTGGTCAAACATTACACCGAGGCTGAAATAACCACGCTTAAGTGCCACCGTGGCCAGTGTTGTGTTTCTCTCTCTGTTTCAAGTGTCTCCTGAAAATGCAGCCGTGCACAGTAAAAGTCCTTACAAAGAAGTGAGCGCCTAATGCCTTACAAAGTGGGATTTACTCAAGTATAATAATAGCAAATAAACCAGCATTTGTGGAGTGCCACTGTCCTTTGTATCCTATCAACACATTTCTCTCCTTATTCTTGGAGGCTAGGTCACCATAATATGTTTTCACATGCAATATAAAGCTACAACTGTAGAAAATATTGCGTTCAACAGTCACACAAACATTTAAGGCGACTTAATGTTTAATGTTGTTGATACTGCAAGGATAATGTGAGTAAATGATTTTCATAAAGTGCCCATCACAGTTAGATTACTCATTTTACTAAAACACAGTTGAGGTCATTATGTTTGAGATTTTTGCAAAAACACTCACACTCCATTTTCCACTTTTGGCCATTTATTAGGTTTAAAATTTTACTTCCTGTTTAAAAACTGTGACATCACACTCGGAAATACAACTGTTTCTTGCAAGACTCCTCTAGTGTACACAGAAATTATGATCTAACAAATACAAGCATAAAAAAACAACTTTATTTGGTTTAATTAATGTTTAAAGTATCAGAAAAAAAGTGATGAGTGTCAAGGTCATCAACATCTTTGAGAACTGTCTACTTCCTGTAATTTTCAACATATTTTTCAATGTATCAAATTCACAAATAACTTCCTGAATGGTATAAAACTATAATTTATATTTTCAATAGTTATAATCTCATCAAATTAAGTCAAAATGAGAGAATCATAATAATTTGTCACATGCATTTTAACTCCCTCTAGCAAAATTTACTGCAATAAATCATAGCAAAAAAGAAAACGTATACAATAAATTGAGTATATATTAAGGGTGTGCCAAAATATTGAAATATCAATATATCGTGTCTCTTAATATGATGACACAGTATCGATATCGTGGGCTGCTGTATCGATATATCGCCAAGAGCATTTTTTTGGTATATTTTACGAAATTATTTTGCTGCTTGTTTAGAGGAAGGAAACTCGTTTATGCGACACATTTGACATATTCACTTTTTTGATGATTAAAATGTTTGTGTTTCATATTCACTTTGCACAAGAAGTGGTTTAAAAAAGACTTTTAGTGTCACAGCCATAATTTAGACATTATTTTTTATTGAACCGTATCAAATCGATTTGAAATATATTGAATTGAAAGTGCAGTGTATCAAGATATGTATCGTACCGTGGCCTATGTATCGAGGTATGTATCGTATTGGCAACTTCTTAATGATACCCAGCCCTAGTATATATTTAGAGTAATATTGTTCATCTGTAATTTATAACCAATGCCATAGTTATTGTGAAACTCCTTAGTTATTCATCTACCAATATTGCAGCAAGATGTGTTTGAATTTCCACATTTACTCCAGTTTTATTAGTCCTACTTGATATGCATGTTATTCAATTTTTACATGTGGCCTACTGTTTTACTGCACAACATCTTTCTGGACAAAGCAGCACAGAGTGAGAACAAAATAGATATGTGCGTCCGTGTGTGTTTGTGGGGATGAAATAGTAGTGGGCTCAGAAGACAGCCTTTATATACTTGTGAAAAACTAATATCAACTGAGTGCCAGAAAGTTGCCACTGTTGAGTAAGATAAAGTGCTGGTCCATGCGCTGCTGGGGCTGTTGTTGCATTGCTCTAGTATTTTCTCCTTTAGGTCAAAGAGACGCATTTGTCTGCCTTGTTCTACCGTATACTTTTCTTCCTCTTCTTTTCCAGCCTGCACAGAGGATGTCATCTTTCAGGGGCCAAGATGGACGACCGAGCCGAGTGACCTCATTTTACCAATCAACTCGCCCAACCGCCAGGCCACAGTCACATGTCAGGCAGAAGGCAGCCCTCCTCCACACTACAGGTAAAGCGCCGCATCAAAGTATAGCTGGTCTTTTCACACTTCACTGAGGTGTCCACAACGCTTCTTCATCTGTCTGGCCGTAACTCCTTGTGAAACCCCATTGTTGTCACCGTGGAAATCAAAGCGTTTTCCAATAGAGCTGAAGGCCATTAATTCGGTGAAGTTTTCTGGACATAAGTGAGCGATTAGGGGCTATCCAGCAAAAGACTTGGCTTCAAAGTGCTTAATTGAGCATCCATTCTTAATTGAAAAAGCTTATCTGAGTTTGCCATTAGATATGAGGTATGGAGTCAGTGGGCCAAAAGCCGCTGTCGCCGTCGTTGTGCCTGATGAAAATGACAATTCACTCCGATGTGAGCGGGGTTAGCTTTATTAATGATAAGATTTAAGCCAGTGTGCAGCTAAAGCCGGTGATTTATAATATGCTGCAAGGATTAAGAAATCATTAGGAGCGAGGGGAAGATTGGAGTGGCTCATTTGCACTGCAGATCCTTTGATATCTTCTTGTTATTCCCTGAGCGGGGCAAGTCTGAAAATGGCAGCGTGCTTGGTAGATTGTGTTTCGGAGCTGGGTCAGCACCATGGTTAGGAGATATAAGCAAGCAGAGCAGAGGCAGGCGGGCTGTAACCTTGAGAGTGAAGAAAATGTATATAAAGGTGTAGTCTCAGCTAGGCTTGATCTGTCTACTAATATTCATTAGGACAGTTTTGAAAAAAAAGCAAAGTGTGATTATTACAATTGTGATAATGTTTGTATTATATGTTTAAAAAGTAAAAATCTGTTTAGAGACAACATTGACGTGAATCTAAAATATATTTTACATATTTTACATTTAAAAAACTGCATTAATGTAGAGATTTTTTATGGTAAATAGTCACATTTTTCTATAGCGCTTTTCCACCTTCAAGGCACTCAAAGCGCTTTACAATAAGAAACCACTCACCCATTCACACACACATTCACACACCAGTGTACACAGACACTCAGGGCGAGGTGGGTTAAGTGTCTTGCCCAAGGACACGCAACAGCATTCATCTGGAATCACACCTTCAGACCAGTGGAGGAACGCCCTACCAACTGAGCTACTGCCGCCCACATGTGCAAAAAAATAAAAAAAAGTTAAGACTGCATTCAAAACATTCAATTCAGTGTGAACTTTTTAAACATACTCTGGACCACATCAACATCGGAGAGAAGACTGAAATTAAAGACTGAAGGTCTAAACCACAGGGTTACGAGGTTTCTTTCATTTTTTCCTGTTCTTTTTTTCCATAAAAAGACTGGATAATTTGTTGTCGGCTGAAGATGTTTCAATCCCTAAATAATTGCAGCCTTTTCGATTTGATAATTGCTACGGTTCAAACTGCAATTTAGTTTCAATTGTGATTAATTGCGTAGATCCCTATTGTGGACCTTCTTTAATCACTGTTTTGTGTATCAGAAAATAACAGCGTGCTCGTATTCTGTGATAGATAGTGTTCCAGACCTGGCTCAGCACTGGGGTTAGTTGATGCGCAGCCAGCAGAGGCAGAGATGTAACCTTGTGAGTGGCATAGCTTTAAATGCTTACATCTCCTTTAATGCGCACTGAGACACACTCCAGCCTCTGCAGTGGGCGGTCTGGGCTTTTCTCTGTTTGTCTCCTCAGAGCAGCTGCACCTGAGCACTCCGCATGTCGGGTCTGTGGAGAGCAGAACATCTGTGATAGAGGCTGGGCGGGGGCTGTTGTCTGAAAAATGAGCCACAGCTGAGTGAGCCCCGGTGTTATGAAACAGTACAGGAGCATGCTCTCATTATCTACTCAAGTGAAACATGCTATCACAACAATCACATTTCATACAGTGAGTGAGTGGACCATCAGTGTTGGCTTTGCTCACGTTACAGGTCATCTAGAAATAACATTGATTTTAGACAGGACAGTCAAACCTCTTTACATTGATGGTCTAATGTTAAAAGTGCACTATGTGACTTTTTGGTTGGGGTCTGTCACCTGCTTGTTTCTATGGATATGGCATTACGCTGCTTGGAATGTTCAGCTCTACTAGGCCTGTAACGATAATCAATAAATCGATTAATCGTACGATAATTTTTAACGGGCTCGATAACTTTTCCAGCCAGAATTTTTAAATATTTTTTAATATATATAATTTTTTTCTATTTGCAGCTTGTTTGTTTTCCTCGCTCTCTCTCTCGCTCTTTCTCGCTCTCAAAGAGACTGAATGTTAGAAGGCTTCTATCACTCTGACTCCTCTCGTTTAACAAGCGGAATGACACTTTAATCAACGTGCGTGTGTGTTTATCAGCACAGTGGATGCGCGCATAGTCTGTGCGCTTTCTGCCGCTGTTTGTGCGGTGCGCTATCAACACAAGCTAGCGCCGCTATCAGAGTGACAAAACTGTTCATCTCCGTTCATCCCCAAAACAAGTCACGATGCTGAATCAACACTGGTGAGGGGGACACGTCTCAACAGCCACATGCGTCAAATACAGTGAGCGAAACCCAAACGACGAAGAAATGTCCCAAACCCCAACAGCCGATAAACCCAAACCCGAGCAACAGAACTAGCCCCGCCCCCGGGAGAACCTGAAATCCCGAAAACCGAACTGACACGACACCAGACAGGACAGAGGCTCCCTCGTAGTGGAATAACATCCTGTGTCACGGGTTCATACGAACATTTAAATGACCAAAAGGACGAGGCTCACAGCAGCAGCCACAGAGAGAGTGACTAAAATGACTAAACATTTTGTTACAGAGACTTAATGATCCATTTTATTTATTGCTTTGGTTGTATTTGGTTCTACAGTGGTTTATTCAGGTACATTTTTGTGAACAAGTCCTCGTTGTGAGCCAGACACATTAGACTAGTCCTGTGTTAAGTCTCTTTTATTTAGGCCTATTGTTTTTGTTTGTCTTACAGTTCCTGTGTTAAATGTTCTTTAGAAAGTCAAGTTTATTGATCTTTAAAAGGATGCATTTGCATTTTTATTCCATGGTCATTATATTAGTTGAAATTGGTCTCAAAATGTCAATATTATCGTTTATCGCAATAAATTCTTGGTCAATTAATTGTCCTGCAAAATTTGTTATCGTTACAGGCCTAAGCTCTACATAACATTTATTCAATTGCAGGTGGTTTTAATGCTCAAAAATACTCTCATTCTCACATTCTCATGGTGAACGGGGTTGCCTCTCCACAGATCTGACCGGTCACTTGGGCTGGTTTGGTCTTGGTCATGAAGGTGGACAGGTTTCAGTGTTTCCCGCAGAAATTGGGGGGTGGGGGGCTGGGCGCAGAGGGACGTAGTCAAGGCGGGGGTCCATACTGTGAAACACTCCAGACAAAACAATCATATCTCTCTTTGTCGGTCCCTCCACCAGAAAAAGTTACACAATGCAGCTTTAATATGGGCACATCCTTTGTTTGGGAATCACCTTTATAATTAGAAATTGTTGTAATCTGTTGGAATAGTCTCAGTTATTTACATTTTTTAATATTAGTAGTTTTATGATGTTGAATAGTTTAAGGAACACTATGTAACTTTTCAGGTGAAGGTGAAGGGTCTGCCATCTGCTTGTCTTCATAAATATATTATTTTGCCTAGTTAAGGCAAGGCAAGTTTATTTGTATAGCACAATAACCCACAAAAACATAAATAATCATAAAGATTAAAATAAAAATAAAAAAAGAGAGACATAAATTAGAGAGAAGAGTGCAGAATGAAAACCTTTCAGTCATATGCACAGTCAAACAGAAATGTTTTGAGCCTGGATTTAAACAGCGTCACAGAAGAGGCCTGTCCCTAGAATGTTCTACATTATGGCATTAAACATATTTATTTGCATGGAGACAAGCAGGCTTCACCACACCAAGCGGCCATGTTGCAGAACTATTGAAAGGCGAGCCCACTCACAATAAAAATGCAAATCATGGTATTCTTGAGCAATAAAAACACCCACAATTTAATACATGCAAGATTCTAATTTAATGCCATATACTCATTGACATGCCATCTCCATGGAGATGAGCAGGTGCAGGACACCCTGCCAAAACCAGGTGGCTAATATTACAGCAAGAGACTACAACAAGTTCACATCAAGGCACACACAATAAACTAAAACTAATTCTGCTACTATGACAACACACATCATCATTTCCTTTGTCAACCAGAGTATGAATGTGACAAAGAGTGTCACACAATCAACTCATTTTACAGTTTATAAAGGAAACAGAAAGTGCCTTGGTATGGAATTATAATGCTTTTTTTTTTTAATGATACATTTCCAGTTAACGTCTTTAATGGAGATTGCAGAATTGTTTTTTATAGATCTGACTAAAAACATTGTTATCAGTTATTTGGGTTATCCAGTTGGAATGGATTATGCAAGAACCTTGTGCCCATTTTACATTCTCAATCTCATTATTTCTTTATTGTCCTTCGATTAAAGGACAACTCCGCCTATCAAACTTTTCAAAAGATCTACATTTTTAACTATTCTATTCTATTCTATTTTTTGTGTTGTCCAGATATTACCTGTACCACACTGCATAAAACATGTATTTTACCCAGGGATCTCAGAAGGCTACAATAATACCCTCTCACTTTGATTCAATTTCACAGTTGTGCAGACACATAGACCCACATTAGCATTTCCCAGTGCTCTTTTGTTTTGTGGGCTCTTAAAGTGTATGGTTCTGCCTCTTTCTTTAGCACTTGGCAGCTGTAATGAACCTGCATCCTCCCCTGGTGACAGCTTTAAACATCAATCTCACCTTATTGTGGAGCATAAAACCTTTACAAAGGCAAGAGAATCACTTCAGACTAAAAAGGTGTGCATTTGTGCTCTCATTTCCACTTCTATCCACTATTGTTTTTCATTTGCAAGTTGAGATTGGTGCAGGGAGGAAGTAGGATGAGGGCTTTGATAGCAATCAAGTGTGCCAGTTGTTGGATGTTAATAATGTTAAGTTGAATAATAATACAGTGGTATGAATCT